TGAGGGGGGGGGGGGCATAATTTTAAGCCAAAGATGGCTAAAAATTTTGAACGTGGAAGGCATGATTTTAAGTCAAGCATGATTGAAAATTATGAACAACTCACATGAATGGAGCAAAGATCAAGGAAGATCATGGATTCTATGAAGATAGGATATGGTTGAGTGGAGTAAAGATTAAGAAAGATCATGGATTGATGGTTACAACATGAGGTGGCCAAGCAAGTATAAAAGGAGGACTTGAAGAATCAATCAAGGGACATCTCTCCATCATCAAACACTCGCAAAAAGTTTATATAGGAGTAGTTTAACGTATCATTTTTAGGAATAGAATAATGATAGCTTTCTCTAACCCCCCTCCCCCTCCCCACTTCTCTTCTCTTATTCTGTCGATTGCTGTATTTCTTCAATCTTTTGTCCTTGTTTAAGTTCTTGTAACTAGTAACAAGTGACAATTCATTCGAATTAATACATATTCTACTCGGTTCCATTTTCTTCTTCATTCAATCACCTCCAAGGAAGTTCTTAATCTGTTTAAGGCAAAGAACTCAACCACAGAGCCTGATTTTTTATTTGTGTTTATTGAAATATTTTAGGCCTGTCAATCAATCACTGTTGATTGGGCTTGAACTGAATTTTTACCAACATAAATTGGCACGCCCGGTGGGACCATTCTAACTTGGAGTGATGATGGTGAAGAAGCAGATTTATCCTTATAGAATCATGCCTTCAATAGGTATGTTTACATCTTGTGAACCCATGGATGTAAACTGCCAATGGAGTGACAGTGTTCCCATGGATACAGATTATCAGTGAAATGCCTCATATTTTGAAAATTATCAGTGTTATGATGGGGGGTTTTACTGCTTATTGCCAACATAATGGCATGACAAATGATGTGAAAAAAAATGATTTGGCATTGTGATAATGAAATTTATTGGTGCGAGAGTGAAATCTTGGCCCTAAAAGAAAAAATTAATTCTCTTTACAGGCAAAATTTTCAAATAATTTCGTCATCTCCATATTATTTTACACAATGAGATTTAAATTACCGTGATAAAAATATTCATCGACTTAAAGGCCAAATTTTCCTAATTGATGAAGAAATTATATATTGGAAGCAAAAATTAGAAGACATAATGGCCAATGAAAAATTAAGATATGAAAATAATGTGGCTCATAAGATTAATACACATAGTTTTGAAGAGCCAATGTACGTGGCTTGAAGGGTTAGCACACTAAATCATGAAAATAATATGACTTTGGAAAATTTTCATAAGTCATTAATGGCTAAAATTAAAAAAACAATCCATTCTCTAAAAAAAAATTTAAGAATTCTGATAGTAAAGGTTCACTTGGGGGGCATGATGTTTTGTCAAATGTGGTAAAAAGTGATAAGCCATTAATGGCTAAAAAAAAAACCAACCCCTTCTCTCAAAAAATGTTAAAAATTCATCACAAAATAATGGTGAAAATTCACTTGGGAGGCATAATTTTAAGCCAAAGATGGCTGACAATTATGAACAACCCACATTTGTTGAAGGCCCTCCAAAACATGATCAAATGCTATTCAATAACATGAAACTCATTGTTTTCCCAAAATTAAAGTGAACTCAACACATGCATGAAGGAATTCTTGAAAATCAATCTTCAAAATGCTATGAAACATGCATGCATACATGGATCGATCTACTTCCCTACTCCTTAAGCTTGATTCTCACATCTTATAACTCCAATTACTTGAATTCATGCATGAACAACTTAAATCCACAATCAAAAGAATGAATTTCCTACCTTAGATATTTAATTGGGCTTTAGGTATTAGAATCTTGGACAAGATAAGCAAGCTTCAAATTTTCTTCTAGCAATTCTCTCATTGAATTCAATTCTTGAGCCTAGGACCCAAATCCCTCAAGTCTCCCTCATTCTCACATTTTCTCTCTCTGAAGGCTCAAGTGTGATCAAATGAATAAAGGGGGTGAGTGGGGCTCAAAATGGCCTATTAAGTAACAATTGATCAAAAGTAATCAAATAGCATTATTTTAATCGAATTTAATCACCTCGAACCGAATTTTAATTAAACCTACCATAAAATTCTATAAATCCTAATTAGCACATAAATCAAGTCAATTTCTGATTCGAACGCCGATAAGGCTTTCAATTCACAAATCGAAACTAAAACGTGAACAGATCTTCCTACGCCTAACAGATATAAACACAATAATGCAACACACACATGCATTTTAATTCAGAATTTCTCCTTAATTATTAATTAGGCATACATAATCATAGATCAACGTTAATCAGAGGTCGGGGTTGTTACAGCATCCCTCTTTTGATGACCAAAATTTAATCTGAAGTTGAAACTTAAACCTTGTTCATTTACTGTATTTAGATTAGTAAAATCTCCTTATGGTTTGTTTTCCTTAGAAGACAGATTACAAATTGACTTGAGTATTACATGAGGTATGCCTTGTGTTGTGGGTCATAAAGTTTTATTTAGGCGGTGCTTGATATTTGGGTTGGAGAAGTTGTTTAAGCCTGAATGAGAACACAGATGTCTTCTACAACGCTACGACAGTGCACCTTTGCAGCCATCACGACATCCTCTCCAACAACGATAAGGACTCCGTCACTCAAAACCGACAGCGTAGGTGCGATATGGTTCCTCTAGCCTCCGCCGTCGTCGTAGAGTTACTAGTGGCGATGGTGAGTGGTAGAAGAGAGAGAGAGAGAGAGAGAGAGAGAGAGAGAGAACGGTCTTTAAGATCGATGATCACATCAGCATCGCAATCGTCATACTCACAGCCGCCGCCACCTAGAGTTTTGCCGTCTTCTAAATGCCTGCAACATCATTATTGGGGCTGGAAAACTCAACCCGACTCCACTGAGAGAGAGAGAGAGAGAGGGGAGCCGTGAGTGAGAGCAACGTCAGAAGCGACGTCGATGGCTAGGGTTTAGATCGAATAAGAGTGAAAATAGAGAGAGAGAGAGAGAGAGAGAGAGAGATAGAGAGAGAATACACGGAAGAGAGGAGGAGAGAGGGGGGGTTTGGTTTGGGTTTCAACCGTGTATACAGCAGGGAAATTATTCAATGATCCCGGAACTCCACGTCAACAGCCTTAGGTGGTACTTCAAACCAACTGTAGTGTGCCATTTTAGCATAGTGTCAGTAGGCTAGCCAGTGATGGAAGTAATGAAGTCCCGGGAGGTCACGTGCCCCCTTAGATTTTGGAATTTTTTAATTTTTTTTTGTAAATATAAAAAAAAATATTTTCAATAAAAAAAATTACAAAAATATTATTAGAGTGAAATGTCAATGACATTTTAAAAATTATGAGAACAATAATGTTTGTTTTAATTGAAAATGAAGAGACTACTATAAACCATATTATCTGTGAATTATTTTAAATATAACGGTGATGTCATTATTATTGACATGGAAATATAAATAATCTCATTATAAAGGTATGCAATTTATTGGATTGTTAGTTACATTTGACATGTGAGGTTCACTCTCTATGTGTTTATGTACTATTAGTTGGTGATATCACATATCAATGATGACATGGTATTACCATTATATTGAATTTTTAATCAAATTTTGTATATATATTTTTTTATCATTATGTAATTTATTTTAAAACTTATATCCATATTTTTTTTTTGTATACACTAGTTACAAATAACATTATTTTTTTGATATTCCTCCAAATCAATCGTAAAAATTTACGTGAAATATTTTTGTAAATTTTTTTGATATTGTAATTAATAAGTACCCTTTCTAATTTAATTTTCTGGCTCTGCCACTGAGGCTAGCCACATTAACAAGGGACTAATACGTGGTAAGGATCACTTGTTGAATTTTTGGACCAAGCAACTGGTTCTTGTGCTTTTTTGTTTGTAAATTGATGGCTTTTGAATGGTGTTCTGCCTCATCAGTACCAAACAAAATTGAGGGGATTAAGAAAATAAATACAGCAAAACCCTTTTTGTTTCTTATAGCTATATAAATATGAAAATATTACGAGGAAAAAAAAACCAAGAGGAAAAAAACAAAGAAAACATTCCTGATATAACTTTATCGCTGACAATTATATAACCCAAACAAAAAGGGTCTATCATGTTCAAAAAAAAAAAAAAAAAAGGTCTATTGATTGCTGATTATATTGATAAGATATTCCTTTGTAGGTTGTTTCCTCTTGAGTTAGAGAAGGCAAGAGACGTAGTGAGCCAACTTGGAGGCATTACTGGAACTTTGCCCATGACTATCTGATAGAGCCAGTTCCACAGCATCTGAAGCTGGCGGCGCAGAAACTCACCTGCCAAGAACAATATATAGAGAACATAGAGAAAAGGACCAACTAAGTCTGGCAAAAGAATTGAAGCCAGAGACACGAAAAGAAGCCAACCAAACACCACTGTCCCATAGCGAGCATAAGTTTGTGAGCGGTGGTGATCTTCATAAGAAGAAGATTTCAGTTCAGCATAGTAAGAAATGCCATAGAGAAGCAAACTAGCAATGGAAACACCCAAAGATTTGGGATATGTGTCGAATGGGGATATGTTGCTCCTTCCTTGATACTTGATTTGCAAAAAGCTGAGGAGCGCTGGAATAATAATGGCCAAAACCGGGTGACAGGAAGCAGAGGATGAGGAGGTACTCTGTTGTTGCAACAAGTAGTAGGAGTGTGTTGTAATGCTGAGAAATGAGACATTGATCTGTCCAAACAAATTTGTTTGCGCGCCTTGCTGAGGCATTCTTCTTCTTGTTGTTGCCATTGATGTAATAATAGTAACACACACAGATAGGGAGAGAGAGAGAGATCTGCATCAAAATAAGGAATTAGTTAGTTATAAAGAAAAAATATCAAGTAGATAAGATATGAAAAGGAAAAAATGTATTACCTTTGATATACAAAATCAAAGTAGATCTATATCCAAAATCAAGTGTAGAGGACTTGAAGAAAGGGATGTATTAAATGTAGAAGATTGAAAGTTTGATGGGAAGTTTAATCACTAAAAGTGGTTGATGTGGCTGATGTTGTATGTTTTAATGTTAATTATCAACAAAAGATGCTAGCTTTTTAATGTTTCTTCTTCCTTCCGATTAATTTTATTGATAATTTCTTTTTCTTAATTTGCTAGAAAAATGTTTGGTGAGAACCAGTTTTATTTGCTTCTATTATTCATGATTTCTTAGGGGCTTAAATTTTCTTTGAAACATCTCAAAATAGTTCACAAATAAAAAGTTAGTTACTGTCAGAACAAAAGATATTCATGATTGATTTCTTAGTTAGCCCCTGAGCTGAAGTATGGAAGTTGCATGACAAGGCACCACATAATCCAACTACATTCTTTACCAAACCCCTTCTCAATGGTGATCTTCAGCAAATCCATTAATCAAAATCAACTTGGGGAAATAATATTCTTCTTTCCAGCAAAGCAATTGCTATGTGTTTTGACTCCAAAATCATAACAACTCCAAATCTTTGACTAGGTAATATTTGAAACCAAGTTTGAGCAATGCATGATTAGCACCGGTGACCCAATCATCAACTGGAAAATACCATCAAATGCCCAGTTGCTTGCCAAAATCAAAGAAATAGGCATCATACAAATAAGAACTGTGTACAAAAAGATTTTATTGTTCCTTTTTTCTTATAAGCATTTTTACAAACAGATGGTGGACAAGTGCAATACATGATATAGATGAAAGAAACAACCATATATTTGTTACTGAATTCAAGTAAAATTGAAGCAAACAATATGAGAATGACTTCAGGAATTGCTGGTACAACAAAGTTGTTGGTGGACATCGATGATCACATTGGTTGTAATAACTGGTGAATGGCAGGAGACTCATAAAGAATAGATGGAGCTCAGTGAGCCGTTATGCTGGCGGGGGCAACCTTACATAGTATTTGTCAAATGGTAGCAATGATGTTGCTGGTAATCGTTGTTTTTTCTCTAACCACAGTGTTGATAAAAATGGAGAGATGACCAGTGAAAAAGAGAGAAAGAAGAAACACAGTCGTCAAAAATGAAGAGATGAACTGTGAGAAAGAGAGAATCAAACATTAAGAGGAACCACTTTAAAATTCAAACTTCAAAATTTTAAGCGGGAAAGTTTAAGCGGGAACATGAAATTATTTAATGTTTCCGAACTCCACGCCAACAGCCTTAGATTGTACGCCAAACCAACTGCAGTGTGCCACCACAGGTGACATCACCCTCATATAAAACAGTAAAATAAATTTTAAAAATTTAAAAATTAATTTTTTATTATCTTTCCAGACCACCACTACATAGGGTTGATTTGGCAAGGGTTCATTGGGTTTTTTTGGCTCAATGAGCTATAAAAGACAGAATAGGCTCATGAGCCACAGACAAAACATCTCATCAAATCCCATAATCATTACACTTTTCTCTCACAAAAAAATCAAAAAAGCCAAAACGTCAAAAGTCCTTCCCAAACTAAGCTTTTGAGCCCAGGCTCATATAGTCAAAAAAGTCAAAAAGCCAACCCACTTCCCAAACGGAGGCATAATAAACTATTGCCCAAGCTTTTAAACTTTTTTTTAATAAAATTGAATTTTTCATCTAACACTCTTTAATTAAAATGTTATCAAAAAGGTTAAAAAAAATTAATTCATACAAAAAGAAGTTAAAAATTCATTCTTAAATATTTTAATTTTTATAATTTTTGTTTAAAAAGTTAAATAATCATTTTTAGTCTTCGGTTGGCATTAGCTTTTTTAGTTAGTTTTTTTGTGTTAGAATTTTTTAACCTAACTTTTTTAGTCTCGTTTGGTTTTTTTTTTGACTTTTGTGAGAAAAAAATGTAATAATCATGATTTGGATATGACATTTTATCTTATTAGCTTATGTAACCAAATTTGTCTTTTGTATTTTTTTAGCTAAAAATCTAAAACCAAACGAAGCTTTAATTTTTTTTTCTGCTTCATATTTTAACTAACAAATAAAACGGTACTATAGGCTATTTTGGGAAAATAGCTTTTAACTCATTTTGGGTGACTTTGTAATTTATGTTTTTCTAAAAATAAACAAAAATCAGTTTATAAAATTTTTGTAAATATAAACTGAAAACGTAAACGTTACCAAACAAACCCTCAATGTTTCCAAACTCCATGTCAACAGCCTTAGGTGGTACGCCAAACCAACTGCAGTGTGCCATTTCAGCATCGCGTCAGTAGGCTAGTCACAGGTCACATCACTTCTCACATAAAACAATAAAAAAAATTTAAAAAGTCAAAAAATTAATTTTTTACCATCTTTCCTAGGCACCATTACATAATAAACTATTGCCTAGACTTTTAAAGAAAATTTAATAAAATTGAATTTTTCGTCTAACACTCTTTAATTAAAATGTTATCAAAAAGTTTAAAAAAATTTAATTCATAGAAAAAGAAGTTAAAAATTCATTCTTAAACATTTTAATTTTTGTAATTTTTGTTTAAAAAGTTAAATAATCATTTTTAGTCTTCGGTTGGCATTAGCTTTTTTAGTTAGTTTTTTTGTGTTAGAATTTTTTAACCTAACTTTTTTAGTCTCGTTTGGTTTTTTTTTTGACTTTTGTGAGAAAAAAATGTAATAATCATGATTTGGATATGACATTTTATCTTATTAGCTTATGTAACCAAATTTGTCTTTTGTATTTTTTTAGCTAAAAATCTAAAACCAAACGAAGCTTTAATTTTTTTTTCTGCTTCATATTTTAACTAACAAATAAAACGGTACTATAGGCTATTTTGGGAAAATAGCTTTTAACTCATTTTGGGTGACATTATCTTTCACATTTTTTTAAAAAAAATAAATTAAAAAATTAACTTTTAACCATCTTTCCAAAACAAATCTATAAAAGTCATTTCTCAAATGACCTAATTATTGTTTTCCTCTGTGAAATCCAATGCACGAAATTACTAGTTTTGACACAAAACATAGGAACTCAATAAATTTAGGGCTTTTTTTTTTAAATTTATTTATAATGTTTTCTCATTTAATATTTTTAAAAACATAAAAATCGTTCAACAAGCTAATTCAAAAACCATGTTTTCCATTTTTTTTTTTAAATTTATCCATTTTATCTTATGTTTGCTTTTGAAAACTAATTTTCAAGTGAATTAAAATATTTTATTTTCTAGTTTTTAGGTTAGTTTAGATCATCTCCAATATTTCATTTTTTTTATATCAAATTTAAATTTGATAAAAAAAAGTACTTAAAAATCATCACCAATAATTTCATTAAATGTTCATAAAATCAAGAGAGTTACTTTTATATCAAATAAATAACTCATCAAATCTTTTATCAAATTTAAATTTGATAAAAAATTTAAAAAAACGAAACTTTTTATTTTAAACTGATTTCTTTTTTCATTAAACATTGAAGATAAAAAAATTTCATTAAATTTGATGAAAAGGGAACTTTAAAATAAGAATTTTTTAAGTAAAAAATTTGATAAAATTTAATGAAAAAAATGCTCTTACAATTACAATTACATATATTAGGCCTCGTTCGGAAAATTAGTTATTTTAGTTAACTTTTTGACTTTTTAGTTATTTTAACTTGACTAAAAAAGTTATGTTTGGGAAGTTTATTAATTTTTTTCTAATTAATTTAATCATTGTGTAAAAAATAATTATAATTTAAATAAAATATTTTATTTTAGAAAAATTTACCAATAAATCTCATATTGAAGAATGGTGATCTATTTAGTTCTAAAATTTTTCTTATAGACCAATTACTTCCATTGATTTTGGAAAGATAGATTTAGTATATTATTTAAAAATTAAATTTACGGTTATACCCTTATTTCTATTATGTTCCTTCTTTTTTTTTCTTTTTTTTTTTGTGCTAAAAAGGTAAGGTATACAATATATAGGAATTTAATTTGGAATGAATTTTTATATAAAAATCTTTTTTATTTGGAAAAAATTTCAAAACAAAAATGACTTAATATATGAGATTCTTCAAACATTTCAAAATGATGTGGGATTTTTCAAACATTTCAAAATGAGTACAAACATTACTTGGTAAGTTTTGGCAAAATGTATAATTTCAAACTGTAATATTCCAATGTAACACTAAAACGTAACACTAAAAAAAAAAAAAAATAAAAAAAAATCTTAGTGTAATACCTTAATGTAACACATAAAAAAACTCATTACTGTATTTTTTTTTCAAACGTAACACTCCAAAAAAATACTAAGTGTAACACTCTAATATAACACACATAAAAATTATTTATTGTAACACTCTAATGGAACACACAAAAAACTTCTTAGTGTATTTTTCCCACATGTAACACTCTAATATAATACTCCAAAAAAACTCCTTAGTGTAATATTCTAATGTAACACACAAAAAAGCTTCTTAGTGTATTTTTGCCAAATGTAACACTCTAATATAACATTTTAAATTTTTTTTTTACTGTAACACTCTAATGTAACACACACAAAAAAATTCATTGGTGTACTTTTTTCAAACATAACACTTCAATATAACACTACAAAAAAATTCCTTAATGCAACACTTTAATGTAACACACAAAATTTTTCTTTGGTGTACTTTTTCCAAACGTTGAGCTCCAATGTAATACAAAAAAAAAAATAAAATTTCTTAGTGTACTTTTCCTAAACGTAACACTCCAATGTAATACTAAAAACAAAAAAGGATGTGAAATTTTTTAAACCATTCCAAAAGGAGTACAAATATTCCTTAGTAAGTTTTGAGAAAATGTATAATTTCAAACTGTGAGCGTTATGTTTGAAAAAAATATATTAAGGAGTTTTTTTTTGGGATTTTTGTGTGTTACAGTGAAGTATGTTATATTAGAGTGTTACGTTTGGGATTATACTAATTGGAGTGTCACTTTTGGGAAAAATACAGTAAATAAATTTTTTTTTGGTATTACATTGAAGCATTACGTTTGAGAAAAGTACACACAAAAGTTTTTTTTTTAAGTGTTACGTTGTTACGTTTAGGAAAAGTACACCAATGAGTTTTTTAGTGTGTTAAATTGAAGTGTTATGTTATTGGAGTGTTCTATTAGAGTGTTACGTTTCTTTTCATAATGTAAGATTTGTTCTAGAATGAAAGAAAATCCACAACTTCTATATTGCAAATTGACCAAACAAAGCAGATTCAGAACTCTAAAAAACAGAGCACTAACCAGCTCTAATGAGCTGGAAATTTTTTTTTTTAAAAAAAAAGAAAAAAGACACAGCCATCACATCAATGGGGGACCATCTCATTAGAGTTCCCGTAGTACTTAATTTTTAGTGCTCTCAAGCATTTTTTATTAACCAAATATGTAATTTTATATTTTAAGAAACCCTACTTTTATCCTTAAAAAATTAAACCCAAATATGTAAGTGGCTATCATTTTATGTGATTTTTACTTTAATAGGACTTTTGGATTCATAAAAGAAAATAAAAAACTAAATGATTCATAGGTTCATATTTTAAAATTTATTGACACTTCACCCATTATTTTATTAATTATTTTAATTTATTTTATCTTTTAAGTACCTATTTTAATCCAACATCCTTCGCAAACACCCCTGTACTTAGGTCTGGGCTGTTTCACTGTGAACAAGAAGTGTAAAAAACTACCGCCAAATTGCGTTATCCCTTGGTTCCCTCCACCGTAACCACCGGCTATTGCCGGTAAACCGTATATATACATACATTTTTCTTTGAGTACTGCTATTAATACCAACCTTTCTTCTTTGGCCCTCCTATTTCTTTGAACCCCTACCCAACAAAATGAAAACCCTCCATTTTTTCTTTAAACCCCCACTTTAATACCAATTATAACCCTCATCTTTTTGACTCCAAACTTGTTTTCTGTTATTTTCCTATCACCACCGGTAGTCTCACCCCTCCGGTGACCTCCCAACTGGCGACCCCCTCTTTTTTCCCCCATATCTAGTCTCTCTCTCTCTCTCTCTATATATATATATATATATATATTGATTCAAGGTTTTGAATATCTTTAATCGATCTGTTGCAACTGTTCTAATCATTCCTTTGTGTGTTGCGATCATTTCAATTGTTCTATTACTTGATTTTGATCCGAAGATTAGCATTAAAAAAAAAATCAAAACTTT